AGTACGACACGAACTACCAAACCATTAATTTATTAATATATGCCGGAGACACGTATGCGCACCGCTGGCATACGCCATGACGTAACTGTAAACACAGCACGCTCGGTTGAATTGATCGAATCACTTGTGTGATCGAGGGCGTCGGCGGGACACATTACTTTGAATCGACAGTCAAAGGTCAGTGATATATGACGGATTATCGATTTATTCGCGGCCAGATCAGCTCCGCGAAGGGGTACCGCAATCGGCTGATTCGACTGGCGAAAGATACTTTAGACTCTCTAGAAAAATTCTCTAAATAAATGTCTACTCTGCCCGACGCGCTCTCATCTCTTTCTCACGCAAATAGACAGGTAAACAGACACGGAATCACACACATGTTTCTAAAATTAACCGCGCACGGTAAGCGGTATACGCGACACTCGAGACTGCAGTTTCCCAAGAAAGAAAAAATTAGCGTTACTTCCGCGAAAAATTAACGACCGTTATGCGCATTGGGAGGGACAGGGAAGAGAGAGGGAGAGAGAAAACCGAAACGGAAGTCCTATTTTCCGGGGTTATTCCCCTTCCCGTCTGTTTCGCATACGGCCGGAGAGGAGGTCGATTGTATACACCGTGTATCGAACGGACTCGCGTCCGCGACGCTGTTTCGCCGACCTTAACATTTCGCGGCAGCACGACCGCTTCGATTCGCGCGATTAGGGTGACTCAGCTCTGGATTCGGCGCCGGTGACGAAACCGCTCGCGATTCACGAAGAGAGCGGCCGCCGGCTCTCCGATCGGCATGACACGACCGGCGGAGAGGGATTGTGCGAGCGAGCGCGGTATCGAAGGCGCGACGGAGAGAAGAAATGACGTGCGAATAACGTGCACGAGGAATGTGTATAAAATAATGTAGAAGATATAAAAGAGGAACGCGCCGAGGAACGCGCGGGTTTAAACTTTCTCGAGGGGAGCCCTCGGTCTCTCGCGCGCGCGCGAGATAGGAATTCGTGTTCTGCCTTCCCCTGACAGATTAACGTTGTTGCGTGTACTCCCGAAATAGCGCATGCCGCGTAAACGACACGGCGAGTGCGTACGCTTCTTCCTCCACTCGGCGTGCATCCGCGAGCAAACGAGCGCGCACGCACGCACGCACTCACTTCCGTCGAGCACGATGCGGCAGAAGAGCTGGACGCGAAATCGACGCGAAACCTGGACGCGGAAGCCGGTCGTAAAACTCG